ATAGAATTTTGAAGCTCTTCGAATTTACTGATCCATTTTTAAAATTATTTTTATTTTTTTTAAGTTTACATCCAAGGTAGTTAGCATATAGTGCAGTAATAATTTCAGAGATAGAATCCAGTAATTCATCTCCTACATATAACACTCAGTGCTCATCCCAACAAGTGTCCTCCTTAATGCCCCTTGTGCATTTAGCCCATCCCCCCACCCCAAACCCCTCCAGCAACCCTGTTTGTTCTCTGTATTTAAGAGTTTCTTATGTTTATGCTGACTAACTTGGATGTAAATTTTAAAAAATAAAATAACATTTAAAAAACAGAGTTTCTTGGGGCGCCTGGGTGGCGCAGTCGGTTAAGCGTCCAACTTCAGCCAGGTCACGATCTCACGGTCCGTCAGTTCGAGCCCCGCGTCAGACTCTGGGCTGATGGCTCAGAGCCTGGCGCCTGTTTCCGATTCTGTGTCTCCCTCTCTCTCTCTGCCCCTCCCCCGTTCATGCTCTGTCTCTCTCTGTCCCAAAAATAAATAAACGTTGGAAAAAAAAAATTTAAAAAACAGAGTTTCTTATGTTTTGTCCCGCTCCCTGTTTTTATATTAACTTTTGCTTCCCTTCCCCTGTGTTCATCTGTTTTGTATCTTAAATTTGACATGAGTGAAATCATATGATATCTGTCTTTCTCTAATTTCACTTAGCATAATACCCTTCAGTCCAATCTTGCAAATGGCAAGATTTCATTCTTTTTGATCGCCAAGTAATAATACTCCATTGTATTCTTTATCCATTCATCAGTTGATGGACATCTGGGCTCTTTCCATAATTTGGCTATTGTCATTAACACTGCTATAAACATCGGGGTGGGTGTGCTCCTTCAAATCAGCATTTTAATATCCTTTGGATAAATACCTAGTGGTGCAATTGCTGGGTCGTAGGGTAGTACTATTTTTAATTTTTTAAGGAACCTCCATACTGTTTTCCAGAGTGGCTGCACAAGTTTGCATTCCCATCAGCAGTGCAAAAGGGTTGCCCTTTCTCTGCATCCTTGCCAACACCTGTTGCCTGAGTTGTTAATTTTAGCCATTCTGACAGGTGTGAG